TCGACCTTGCTTGTCGGCGTGCCATTTTCAAGGTATCCCCGAAGCGGCTGGTTGCGGTTTACACCTTTCTGAATGGTTTTTTATGACAAATGTTCAAGAAACGATCCACAGAACTCTGAGTAGCCCTTTCAGATTATCTATCTGCATGGGAACTGTCACGCTGTACTGGACAATCTGATCCTTTTCGAGGGGACACAAAGCTGCTCGGTGTAGCTAGCTGTAGTGGCATTTTTCTATTCCCCAAAAAAGCTAGGTCCAACATGGAAGGAGACCAAATTGTTGATGTCGCGGTAATCATTTTGATCATCTTAATCAGCTGTAGCGCCCTTACGATGTCTAACTGCTATGCCACTCGAAGGTTGCACGAGGTCTGAGATACTACCAGGTTACCCAAGCCCAGACAGAGAAAGTCGAGAGGCAGAGTTCCGGTTCGAACTACGGACCTTTCGGTCAGTAGATTCGCGCTCTAACTGGCCGGAAGGTCGTGTGAGTCACTGCCACTGTGACATGCATATCTTGGTACGCCGCCAGTGTATGCCCGAACCAGCGGGATTGTAACAAATCGATGTTCATCGGTTATACAATGCACCCAGATCCCTAAGTAAGCTAGACTTCCCTATAAAGTGAGCGAACTTAGTCTGCTGACCCGAAAATCGCTTCCGTCAACGCGTGGAAATGCACCCGAGGAGAGCTGGCGTGGTGATAGAAAATGACAGGAAAAAAATACCACAGAAATTATTGTAGGAATTAGTGCTGCAGGTTGATTTCAGACTTTCCTAAAACCTTTGCGCGTGTTAGTTCTGCCGCCCGTTTAAGCACACTGATGCTTGTGAAAAATGAACTCAGTAGTTATTTTGAAAAATAAGTTTGGAATTGATTTAACTGCCATCGTTTTAACGGTTTTATTGGCAATCGGCGAATTTATTACTAGGCAACGTTTCGCTTCCGACACAAAAACACCGGGTGATTAGTGTACCGGATTGAGTGAGTTTTAAGGCAGATAGAGGGGCAATCAACAACATATCGTTTGTGTAACATGCCCAAATCATAGTTACGTGCCCGCTAGGAGTTTTTGTTGGGTACTTTGGGCGCTGGTGTCTTATCACCAGTAAATTGGTTGGCTTGGACGAAATTCATGGCGATATCTATACTTTCCATCAGTTAATATGTGAAAAAGATGAAAAAAACGTATTCGCTGTCAAATGCACCTCCATTTAGATGCATCATCTCCACCATCTCGGGAAGCAGATCCTGTTACCGGAAAGGGGCAACAGCCAGCCAAATGGTATTAGATTACAGAGGATGCTATTCCAAACAACATGTGACAAGATAGACAAGATATAACAGTCATCAAAGGGGGATACAGGTAGAATGATTGAAAATATTCTGGCGGTACCGAATCTTGTGTTTAGACTGGGAAGATACTGGTGGCTTAAAGGTGAAATCATCGCCAGTGTGCTGATTCTTACTCCTACCGGTGTTTGGTCAGATAACTGTTGATCTGTTCGTGGAGCTTGACAACATTTCGTCCCCAGTCGAGGAGACATCATCGGTTCACACTTGGATGCATGCACTCTCCTTCCAGTCTGCGTTTATATAGCTTCCGAAGAGTATCTAATCTCATCTCATGTGATTGGCTGACTGATATAAACCCTTATCGTGATCCTATTGGACCGTTTTTAATTTGTGCTATGGCGCGTTACGTTGAGTCTTTCCTGAACAAAAAGTGGAATTATCTCTGCAGAAGATTTCGAAATCTAATTGCGAGGCACTTGCCCGGGCGAACCGTTCCGTTGGCTGTTCCGAGGCAGTTGTGATATAAAGGAGGTCACCAAAAAACGGTTCAAGTCCAAACATCACAGATGAATACAATGGGTACAGCGTGACATCGTGTAAAAATTTCATAATAACTGTCACTGACGGGCAACTCTGCAAACTATTCGTAACTCATATCTCACTGATCTATCTAGGCTTGTTTACCGACAGAACGCATACTTTTGTGTATTTACATCCTTAGACGTGTAAAATCTTTACTCGTTGAAAAAAATTCATGTCAAATACAATCCGGTAACCGGGAGGCGAGCAGCTGGACGAAGGATGAACCACTCCTTCACTGCCTTGACGATATTGTCGGTGGAAAACAACTCACGAAGCATCAGAACGATGTTCCCAATCGTGGGAAATCTCGAACAGGCAACCTAGAGAAGATGATTCCACCATGACCAATTAACAGTTTTGTACATTATTCTCAGGCAACTAAAGGGCCGAATTTATCCTAGTTAGTGTGTCTCCGCAAAACCATCTTCCTCCTGTTGCGACTGCACAGTTTGTCCAACTCGTTGTTTGCTTCTCTTCGACCTCACTTTGCGTACACAGGACGGCACCACAGCGCCGACTGTCTACTGTATAGCTTCTCCATCAATGTTGGACGAAAAGAACCGACAAACACTGTAAATTTCCTTCAGTTTAACATAGACCCGTCCATTCCTAGGACTGGAATTTACAGGCAGATGGAAGCCCGTGTCCATGCTCACTGAGAGGCTAACTCACTGTCCATTTAAAGAACATTTTCCAGGGAAATTCCTGTGCATTCCGATACACAGGCATTTGGGTTCGTACGTGAAATACGTCCTTGAGTTTCAAGCTTCATTGGGTCCTATTTCAAAAGTACAATTCTCCTTCTCTCTGTAAACTGTCTGGTGGACAGAAATGCTTTTTCGAGGGGGCAGAGTAGGCATTTTGAACTCAGAAGTCCTTGAATTTGGACAATGTAACCTGATCGACTTTGAAAGCAACAAATTTGCGGAGAGAATTCATTCCATACACCCTCCTCCGCTGCAAAACATTCAAAGCAGTATAACAAAACCTTCAGTGCAGCTTACATCACCAAAATAAATCTGGAACAAAGTGATGGATCTCAGACTAACGGATCGCCGAAGACAGACTTAAGATCATCACTCAATAAGGCCTGCTCTGTGCTAAGACCGGGAGCGATGAGTTAATTTCAACTCACTTCAACTGTGCCGGAAAGATAACTGACGTTCGATTATTTCACTCTGGCTCCCAAGAGTAGTCAGTTTGAGTCACGTGATACGGATTTTTTTTCGAGGTAATTTTCTGTCGGAGTTTCGAACCTCCGGTCAGTTCTAGCAATGTGCCGATCAAAGTAACTGCAGGTGGGTGGTAAAAAGACTGACGTTGACAGTTTGATTCGTGTGTGCAGGAGTGCCCTTTTCGAGCACTTTGATTGGCTCTTTCGGTTCACCAATTAGGTTGATATGTACTTCGGTGAAACGATCAGAGTACTTATCTGATTAAAACGGAATCAGGGATTGTGTCTACAACGACTGGAGTAAGGTTCGTAGAGGAGAAACAGTCAGAGAACTTCACATCAAAATCGCCGAGCACAGGCCCCCGAGAAATGCAGAGGGATATCGTGCGCTAATGAAACACTCAACGATTGCGTGATATGCACTGAACAAAATGCGTTTAGAAAATGCGGAATTTTTAAGGCAGGGACTATGGATCACGGCAACAAAACTAATGGCTGAGGTGGTGGAACTCACCAAGAATCTCAGTGCAAATTGAGTAGAAGAGTTAGAACTGGCTAACATGTGGAGAACGGTCTTAGATCAGTCCAGCTGGTGGTGTGCGGTTATCGGAAAGAGAAGTCATCAACAAAGCAACTACACAAATCACGCAACAGATCTCCCTTTTCAAGAGACGCAAAGCCAATTTGCAAGGAGAAAACATACTATTCGCATGCCTTTCCCATCAGTAGTATCACCGTCACACCAGTAGCACTCAAGCTGAAGCATCATTTTGAGCGGCAGAAGATGAGCGACCCAGAACCGACAAAAAATGATGTGAAATTCACGAACCCACCAGTCGCAAGATTTTGGCAGCCACAGCAACGATAAAACCTTTAACTGACACTCGACATTGATCGAAGATAACTGCCCGAAAAAATCACAGTTTCAAGCTAAAACTTGATAGCGCATCGAAATAATGCACGAATTTATGGGAGATACTACTGTACTTGAGGTAGGGTGGATTTCAGTACATCAGCTGGCCATTTAGCTAGTTGACGACTGATCAAACCTTCTGTGCTCACAATATTAGGAGGTCTGAAAAAACCTCACAGGAGATTTTGTCCCTTAAACAAAAAGCTTTGGGAATCTGTTTCATTGCGTGGACGCATTGCAAGGAGAAACATACTATTCGCATGCCTTTCCCATCAGTAGTATCACCGTCACACCAGTAGCACTCAAGCTGAAGCATCATTTTGAGCGGCAGAAGATGAGCGACCCAGAACCGACAAAAAATGATGTGAAATTCACGAACCCACCAGTCGCAAGATTTTGGCAGCCACAGCAACGATAAAACCTTTAACTGACACTCGACATTGATCGAAGATAACTGCCCGAAAAAATCACAGTTTCAAGCTAAAACTTGATAGCGCATCGAAATAATGCACGAATTTATGGGAGATACTACTGTACTTGAGGTAGGGTGGATTTCAGTACATCAGCTGGCCATTTAGCTAGTTGACGACTGATCAAACCTTCTGTGCTCACAATATTAGGAGGTCTGAAAAAACCTCACAGGAGATTTTGTCCCTTAAACAAAAAGCTTTGGGAATCTGTTTCATTGCGTGGACGCAACGCACTACTCATAAGGTCGCTGAAAACTCGTCAACAGCGTACGACCAGTTTCGCACTTCCACCACGGTCTCGTCAAGTGGGCGCATTCCCCGAGTTTCCCTCAACCTTATGATCTAGTTGAACACAAATTGCACTATTCTCGAGAAATACACTCATTTGCAAATCAAATTGGCTTTCACGAGAGACTCGATTGAATCTCTCGTTTGTGGTATTCCACAGCTGAATGTGCTGCACACAGGCCGCCTCATGATCCAGTTGGTACGATATTCGAAATATCGCAGTATATTTTCATAAAGGAAGCTACTCACAAGGTTGATGAAAACTTTTTGACAGCCCATGACCGGTTTTTCTACCTTCCAATCGGGGCTCATCAGGTAGGCGCAGTCCCCGAGTTTCCGTCAACCTTATGTTCTACTTGAACCCAAATTGGACTGTTTTCGAGAAATTCACTCATTTACATATCGATTTGATTTTGACTGGATACTCACCTGGAACCCATCTGAATCTCTCGTTTATGATTTTTTTAAAGGATTCACTTTGATTCCAGGTGAGTCTCCCGTCAAATCCGAATTGGTATGCAAATGAGTGTATTTCGCTGTTTCATTCTAATATGCAATAATCAGTAGGGTGTACCTCTAGGAATTATTTTGAAGAATTAACACGAACAGTTTCATCCTTTTAATCAGCTTTATTGTTTTTAGGTGTTATTACAAGTGGAGACGTTCCAGCAAAGAATGCAGTAGGCTTAATCAAATCTGATCTATCACTCGGTCACGTGAAGTCCAGTCAAGCGAAGTTCGCTGAAATGGCGGGTTTGTGGGCCAGCTGCGCTAATGACGTAACCGGTGATGGTTCGTTTGTAAGAAAAAAACAGGTAAACAGACTAGGCTAATTCCTTCGTCTTACGTTCTTCTTTGGAGATACCTTTTGATGTAGTGAAATTCCGTACCGTAGTTAATTAATCATCATCTAAAGTGGGATCCCTGACTGCAGATGATCAACTTTCATTGCCTCAAAAAAGAATTTAAAAAAGACTCGATTCCTTCAGTTGTTCTTAATACAACTCGACCGGTTCCTTTCCTAGTTTACTAATCCTCAAGTGTTCTCCTTCTGAACACCTCAAGCGAGTTTTATTGCCAGTGGAACATTTACAGCCGGAATAATCTTGGTCAGACTGGAAGTAATTTCAGCAGGAATGTCAATGTTCATTTTGTCAGATTGTGCCAGCACGAAATGCAGTTATAAGTGGCGAAAAAGTGTAATTTTCTGGTACCTGTCGGCCACCAGACGTTGTTAATTGCAATGAACAATTAGTGTTTTACGACTTGCTAACTGGGAGTTCAAAACATGTTTAGAAATTTTACTTAAGTGGGGTCAAACGTTATGAAGTTGTCAGCACCCGAAAAAGGAACGCATAAACGACGCAGTCACCTCAGCGTTTAGATTCAAACGAGTTTTCAACGAAACAATTCATGCACAGGTGTTTCCTTCATCATCATCTTCTGTTCATGGATTTTTACAACGGAGGCCATTTGAGATTAAGTCACTCGAAAGGAACAGTTGCACATCAGACAGGCAAGCGACCTTGCAAAGCAACTAATAGGGATTAGCAAAATATACTCATTCGCAAACAAATTTGGTTTTGCGAGAGACTCACCTGGAACCCAGCTGAATCTTCCGTTTAAGATGTTTCAAGGCAACTAAATGCGCTGCACCAGGCCGCCGTGATTTTGCGATACATGTATAGACCCAATACACTACTCATAAGGTCGCTGAAAATGCTTCGGAGCACACGACCGGTTTTTCCCCTCCATTCCGGGCTCATCAGATAGGCACAGTCCCCGAGTTTCCGTCAAACTTATCTTCTACTTGAAACTAAATTACACGAACTAAGCGAAATACACTCATTTGCAAACAAATTTGGTTCTGCGAGAGACTCACCTGGAACTCAGCTGAATCTCCTGCTTATGACGTTTCTAAGCAACTGAATGTGGGGTATTCGAAGTTGTGGGTCCACGGTCACCCATACAGTCGGTCAGTGTGCAGTGATCAGCCTTGCTCACAATGAATGAGACAGTATTCGTAACCAGTACCCTCAGCGGTCATTCACAACAAACAAGTTTGTATATCACGGTCCCTTAAGGCTTGGAAGGTCTTGGAAGTTACCTCAGTATCACCCAAGCTAACACCTTCGTGGGTTATCCACATGTCCCTTTTCAGGGGTTGCCCAATAGAGATTCTGTCACACGCTTTCTACACTGAGGTAATGTAATTTCATTTCTATCCGTGGGCTTCGTGCAGGCTGGGTAGTATTCCCTACATCCTCGGAGCTCCAGGTATTCCATAATAATCACTCATGGTCACAGTCCACCCGTACTAGGGTAGCAGGGTAGACCTGTATAGTTGTCGACTGACCTCGCAGCCAGCATTACTTCATCTAGCATAACAGCAATAAGAACACTTGTCTCAGCATGCCACACTACTCATAAGATTGCTGAAAAGTTTTCGACAGCCTACAACCAACTTTGCTGCTCAAGTCTCCAATAATCTTACGTTCTGCTCAAACAACATGTTGTACGTAACTCATCTGCAAGTTACGCAAGATGCTCAACTGAAGCTCTTGTTTACGATGCTCACCACATGTTTCAGTTGGTTAAATACTGAAGATATCGAAATATTGTGACATAACATGCTACTTACAAGGAGATCAAAGTCTCACTGACAATTTTATCCTCGTTGCTTATCAATTAGACGTCGTACATGAGTTTCGGCAACCTTATGAGTAGTACGTTGCCAAAAATATCCTGTGTCATCTCGAATACCACGTCAGCTGAAGCATGGAGTGGCCGTTGTACAGTACAGTCAGCGGGCGGGGCAGTCAGCACAGTCATGAAACATGAACAAGAAATACCGCCTAGCCACTGTTTAGGACTAGGGTAATTTGAAAATGAGTGTATTTAGCCAGGCAGCACTTGTACTGATCAATTAAAACAAAGTTGACTATTACTAACCTCGAGTTGTCGGGAATTGCTCCGCTCCACTTGACGGTTGTACTACCCTTTCAACACTTGAGATGTCCTAATGAGCGATATGGTGAGGATAGTGGACATCACGTTATCGTCTGATTTATGTCGATTTCACCCCCAAAAAGTCACCTGATGTGGAAGGTTAATGTATCGTCTATGCTCGTACTGTGATCTACTTGAATCTGAGTCAAGGCAGAGGGCATTTCCGTTATCCCTTCTTGGGGAGTAAATCGGCCGTCTTAGGAACCTGGAAATAATCTTATTTCTCAAGAGTTCCACGGACAAATTGCTGTGAATTGTAGATAATCCAGTCGAGGCGGCTCCTCAAGAAGAACGCAACACATCCAAGCGGGCGTGTCAGATAAATGTCAACCCAATCGTACCCTTTATTGGTGGAAGGAGTTATTTTTTTCACAAGCGTTCATAATCAGCGAAAAAAAGTTGAGGTCTCATTCGGTTTTAACATTGGGCAACAACACCGTTTGTAGTTTAGTTTGCAGATAAACTCCAACCGTTTGGGGCGAACCATTAGCTACCGATCGTTGGCCTTGTGAGGAGATTTGAAAATCCTCGACGGAGGTGAGTGAAGCCAATCTGTGCTGATAAGCCGAGAAGCATTGTACAACTGTTGCATTCTCGCTGGAAATCATCAGCAGTGTACATCTGACGAAACTCCAGGGGGATCGACCTCGCGATCTCCTGATTGGTAGTCTGAAAACGACCGTTCCGCCACCAGTAAACCATCAGTATTGTGATGAACTTGCCCTCATTCAAGGCATACATACACATATATATTCGAAACTCCCTGGAGTTTTGTGAGATGCACACTACTGATGACTTCCAACAAGGCCTCTCGACTTTTCAACATTGATGGGCTTCACTTACACGACGATCTCTCTCTTGAGAGATGATTACAGACTTAGCCAAGTTTTTGCACTTGCCTGTCAATACGTCTGGTTTGGATTTCTAATTCAGTGAGCTTTTTGCTGTACGCCTTTCGGAAATGATAAAAAGTGTCTTGTAGTGAGGGTCCAAGTCAAACAACATAATGATGGCTTTATGTTCCAACTATTTAAAGGTGGGAGGTTGATTTGGAAACTTTGCGATCAATAAATAAGAGCGTAGTCAGTAACTGGCCAAAACATATGTCATGGAATGTACCGGAACGTTCCCCATTCTGTCTAAAACCAAAGTATTTTTAAAACAATCTACGACAAAATGGTGGATCTTATCGCAACGATCAATTATTTGTATCGTCTCCTTTTTTGATGACGTTCTCCGATTAGCACATCGCTGGAAAAGGTCCTTGCGATATTTTTGCATACGTTTTCACGTACTGTTTATCGGAATTTAAGAAGGACGACCCACAAAAACTAGGGAGAAGTTTTTGTCCTATGGGAACTCTCAGCTTGGTTCAGCAACAGTTGAACCTATAACGGCTATAGAACAGGCCACTGTGATTGCATCGTGTGAACCTCTTACAGGTGTCAAACATATGTGGTTCTGGAAAGCCCGTTCAAACTCACATCTCTTACTAGAGTTGCCCAAGTACGGCAGTGAACATATATGATTCTTTTCTTGCCATGAGACGCTACTTGAATGGTCAATGGAAACTCCGACAGCCAACGAACGGTTTTACCCTTCTTTCTTGAATTTTCATCAATTTTATATCCTACTTGAAATGCGACTTTTACTCAACTGGCGAAGTAGATTGATTTGCAAATTACATCGATGTTAACGATTTCCCCATCTGGATTCCCGCTGATGAAATTTGTCGTAAGTGACGTAATTCGAACAAGAGTGATCAGCTGACATCATTGTTTCAGCGACCTCAGTAGTTTAGCGAACTTTGTGACGCATTTAGGCAAGTGAGCACTTCTGCAGTTCAGTTTAATATCTGGCGGAAGTTTTGAACGACTCTCCCTCTGGTCGAATCGTATATATATATATATATATATATATATAAAGTCCACCTAATCGGTATCAAGAAATCGTTTTCTCAAAGTTTGAAGGACAAAATCTTTTATTTGTGAAGATGTTACGGAAGAACTATGTCCCAAAAAGGCCCTGATAGGTTATGACCTGATGAAGCGTACAGTACTTCTTGAACAGTCAACTAGTTTCGAGTACCATACTCAAATAAATTGTACTCAGGTTATCCCGATTTTCACTTCAGAAATGATTCTAGGCTCAGTTTTTTGCTGACTGGAACCAAGTTCCAAGCTGCAATGCGGAATCAACTTAGATTGACTAAAAGCCTTCTTAGCACTTTGATGCGACTGTGTTTCTCTCTGCCACCTGCAACTCAACGACTAAAGCGATTAACGGAGCAGTTGGTTCCGCACCTTACGAGTAACTTGTAATTACTGTCGAAGATCTTGTACTGAAATTTCCTGCGAAATACCTTGATGGCAAGCATGTATGGCGAAGTCATGTGACGTGCACTTTGTAGCTCTGAGGTGCAGAACGGCCTTGAGATAGACAGACTCGGAACGCCTTGTGATATGTCATAGAAACCAATCCCTCTGACAAGCGGAGACTGAGCACCATAGGAGGACAAATATTATTGAAACGGGCCAGTTTGTTCTCTGCACATCTGAGCCTGGCAAGATCGTTTGTCGACCGCTGACCTTCCGAGGTCGAGAAGATTCCTCATCTAGCATCCTTTCGAAACATGACCCTTATTAGTGCACTGCTGATGATGGCCATTACAGAAATCAGAAGGTATATGCACTAATAAAGGTTTTTAGTATAGTTGAGATGCCACACGTACAAAAATGAATACAACGCAAAATGGGAGCAAGTCAAAAGAGGAACTTATCGTCTGTGAGAGCTCCTTGGTGAAAGCCCGGACGGCGGGAACGTGTTTTCTCCGCAGTATGGCTGCTACTCGTGCTCCATGGTTGTCCGTGGACCCGTGGAAAGTGGTTGACTTCCTGCTCCATACGCGCGGGCGAGTGTGTTGGGCCGAGTTGTATGCCTATTTATTGTGTGCAATGTGAAGAGAGAGGTGTCCCTTCGTGTTTGATACTTGCACGAACATGAATACAACTTGACCTGATGTGGTTGAAGCTCGTAAGCGTTCCTGGCGCGTGACGCAAGTGGTAGCCGAGTCAAACGAAAATGGGTGAGAAGTTGTAGTGTACACGTTGTCGGCTACGGTTGCAAGTTGGACAGGAACTGTCACGTGGTTTGAGTGTTTGTGACGCGTGATCTGATGAGTGACCTCTACATCGCTAACTCTTGAACTGTTTGCCACGCCTGACGAGCTACACCTCACAAGTCGTGCGCCATAAATTGTCAAACTGCTCCGTACGAGTGTTTTTGAATTCATCGATAGTCTTTTGTCGGATAGAAACAAACAGAATGATTACCTTTTTTGGGTTTTGATTACGTTTGTCTGAGAAGAACACCAGGACAAGTTGCAGATGTGTGTAGTTCACAAAGTGCATGGAATTTGTTCTGTACGTAGAACTAGGCCTAATCGAAGCGCTCCAAGAGGGCAAACAACTGAGTCGTAGACTGTCAACCTTGCGAACAGTATGTTCCGTCAAGAGACTATTCCTTCACCTTCACTGAGGAACCGAACTGAGGTCGAGGTTACATACGCAGCTGCAAGCTTCTTTTGTGGATTTTGCCTTGTTCCTTCACTGAACTTCCCTCCAGACTGCTGGTCTTTCGGTTACCCCAAGGTTCACACTACAAAATTCGATTTGCAACGATTTTTCATCAAAACACCTTTGTTTTTTTTCATGAAGGTGGAGTGCTGCGTTCATGACGTTGATTGTTTTAAAACTGGCAGCACAACCGTTTTTTCCTTCCTCCCGAATGCATTTTCATCTCGTCACTACACAATTTGTTTCAAGCAACGTGTAATATAAATAACGTCACTGCACGATTGATTAAAACGTTTACTTTGCTAACTAAGAGAACAGGGCAAAAGAGAAACAATAATCCTGTGGCTTTGCACAGAGTCAGGTGACACCTGTCCGAAGCTGTTCACACCGCTGGTAGCTACTTGAACCGGGTAAAAAACGTGTTTATTCAAACACCTGTTTGTTTTCCTAAGCTAACATGGGAGTGGAATTCGCGCGCATCGTATACGTGACTGCCTTAGTGAAAATGCACTCCGGGAAACTTCGAAAAATATGAACTTCAAATCATACACCGGTGCCTAACTGCGTATTAACGAAGATCCACCATTCTCCAATCGTCCTGACTCCTGTGTTTCAAGAGATTTACGTAGATAGCCGGTCATTCGTTGTTGTATATGCATGTCGCTCATAAAAAATACGCCGCCGGTATCCCAATGACGCGATCGCTGTTGGTGCGATCCTCTCCGGAAAAAAGCTTGACCAATTTAAAGTTTGCAAGAACGACACCAATCACAGATGGTAAGCGAATTTTTGGCAGTGCAACTCCCCCACACGTACGCATCAGAATAAGAATTACGTCGATCGGTTGGGGTGAATCGTTTTTCGGTGAACATATTGCCGATGAAAATAGATTAGTTAGAGATGGAAACGCTCACCTACCTGGTGTGGACCCGGTATAGAGACTTATAGAAAGTTTCGTGCGAAGTCGAGAGGTCCTGTTTACCGTTCCAACGAAAGAATCTTTAGGGAAGTGACGTGCCAAACTATAGGTTCGCAAAAATGGCATAGAAAGGGCGGTAGTGCAAAAAGCGTAAAGAGTGCTGGATTATGGTACAAGAGAGCATCTGGCCTCAATTCAAGTTCAGCGCTCAGCGAAAAGGTAGAACAAAGAGGCTTACAATCAGTAAATTTTGTTAGCATGCAGCATTTTGAAAACTTGAAACTTCCTGGTCTGGATCTCTCGGCTACCTGGTGTCATCTTTAAAGTCGAAGTGACAGTAAAACACAACTTGTAGTTCCCATTTCGTTCTTTAGTCACGGCGATATCTTCAGGTCTTACCCCATAAAATCTTTGTTACCAAGTGCATTTATCGGAAGCACACTCTGACGAGGAAAGACTCAAAACTTTGCTAGGATCATTCTCCCGAGTTTTATCGACAGTTTGCCTTTGGAATGCAAAACGAATGACACTGACGTGCTCAACGATCGAATAATCAGAACCTATTGGAAGGAAATCGCGCAACCGGATGCCACAGCTGAGATGACCTCTCTAGAATCCTTGCATATTCCCGTGATTCCTTGAGTTTGTGGGGAAAGACAGCTCTAGTGAAGAACTTCCCCTGAGAAACCACTACTCAAGCAATACAGATATGATGACTAAACAAAACAATAGCAAATGTCATATCACGGTAAAAAATGACTTTAAGTTTACGACAGATACACAGATTTGTATATCAACTGGGGGCGAGATGGCTCAAGGTTAGAGCGCAAATTTACTGACCGGAAGCTCCATGGTTCGAACCCGACCCCTCTGCCTCTCGACTTCTCCTGTCCAGGCTTGGGCAACCTGGCAGTATCCCAACCCTCGTGCTTCCTTCGGGTGGTATGGCAGCTAGGCACCGAAAGAGGGCTACAGCTGAACGATTATTATTGTTATTATTAAATCAACTAGGTTTTAACGGAGGACTCAGCTGAATCTCTTGTTTGTGATATTCTTCAGCTGAATGTGCCGTACACAAGTCATCTTGTATTTCAGCTGGCACGATATTCGAGATATCGCGGTTACAAGGGGAACTAGTCACTACTGCGGTATCTCGAATATCGTACCAAATGACACATCAGGCGGCATCACGTTTAGTTGAGGACAGTTTAGTCCGAGAAGCTGAGAATCAATGATCAGCCATCTCATCCTTGTTTGGAATCGTCAGCAGTGAGCACCTCATGAATTTCCAGGCAGATTCACGAACATGACTTCCTGGCTAGTCATTGAGGATAGTAATGTGATTAACCCATACTTAGAGAGTGCTTTAAATTTAACCAAGCACTCGATACGTGTTCGTTTAATTCCCTCTTCTGGAGCGGACATGACACAAAAATCTTTGTGGCTAGACATCTTTTGCTCACAACATGAGCACACTACTCATAAGGTTGCTGAAAACTCTTCAGTATCCCGCGATGAGTTTTGCCCTTCCACTTCTGGTTCACCGGATGGTTGGTTAAGCACAGTCCTCTAGCTTCCATCAAACTTCTGATTTCGGCAACCCTGATAGTAGTTTCCTCCATGAAAATACACCGCGATAACTCGAATATCGTACCAACTGACACATGAGATGGCCTTTGTGCAGCATATTCAGTTGAAGAACATCAGAAACGAGAGATACACTTTGAGTCCCCCGTGTCAACATCTGTTCAATTTGGGTTCAAGTAAGACATGAGGTTGACGGAAACTCGGGGACTGCGCCTACCTGATGAGCCAGAAATAGAGGGGCGAAACCGATCGCGGGCTGTCGAAGAGTTTTCAGCAAACTTGTGAGTAGTTTCCTTCAAAAAATTAAAGTTATTGATCCTAAGTGGAGATGGATGAACTCAGTGTGTAACGACCTGTTTGATTGCACTCGAGCAAACCACCGATGTGGTACGCTCCCGGCCAATCAGTCATCAGTAGACACAAATGAGCGACTCCCTGAAGAGTGTCACGTGAACACTTCGGCTTCAGTCATCAGCCTATCGCGGAAACGTTGATGCGACAACACTTTCAGTAATGCTTCCTCAACTGTCATAAATTAATTAATGGGGCTTGACCTCGGTCTAATTGCCCAGCTATGCGGAGCATCGATTGCATGCCAGCAAAAACTATTTACATTCTCCAACCATGGTCCAAAAGGGGGCTTTTTAAGGAGAACTGTTCCACATTTTGGACCACATCACATCCCGTTTCCACATACTGTTACAAGAGTAATATTGCCACTGTGTCCAATGACCAATTAATGGTTTAATCAGTGGGATGAATGGGGAGAAATAGAATTCACGGATTAATCAAGCATCCGCGATTTGATTAAAATGGTAATTTACCGGACTGAAACTGGTTCAAATATGTGTTTTGCTTGTTTATAAAATTAGTCAAATACATAAATATTTATCGGGGGCTCTTATTTAAGGGTAGGCCGAGGTTGAACAGTTGTGCGCATCGGTTATTCAATCTGCGCAGTTGAGCTGAATTCACTGTTGGAGTGGGATGAACTTTGTATTGGATTTAACAGTGAGACCTACACAAACTCACCCACATTATATGGAGTGAACTCTCTTTTAACCCTATACCGGTGAAAGGAAGAAGGCCTTCACTGCGGAGCTATTTACTAGTTGGACAGAGAAGCAAAACTCTCATATGCATCTTGTTTACAAAAACGGGATATCCATATTCTCCTTGAAAGCGTCTTCCTAAACTTTCCTGGATATTCATTGACTGTTGCTCAGAGG